AAGAGGAGCTGCTTTCTCACGTGGGAGCTTAGGGGTCCCAAAAGTACAAGAGTGGAAGCTGCCAGGTCTTCTCAAGGCTTTCTTCTTGACCTGGCACAGCATCACTTCTACTGCATTAAGGGGAGTCACAGGCCAGCCCAGACTCAATGAATACTAGGAGTCCTGGGTCGCTGGGGGTTGTCTTTGGAGACTAGCTACACAGTTGATGAGTCCCAAATTGATAGGATCGCTCTTCTAGTTTCCAGATCCATACTGGACTTCTTTTCCCACCCTTTCCCACCAGGCTTTTGCCCCTCCCCAGCTCTTCTCTTCCTTCTTAACTTTCTCCAGCTAAGTGTTGGCATCACCTGCACACAGGAGTTCAAACCAGAAACTTGGGAATTATCTTTGGCTCCTCCCTCTCTTATCAAGTGTGTACACAGTTCGGATGCATTCCGTTTAGTCGTCTCCACTTTGTAGATGAGGAGCCTTAGGCTGGCAGAGGCTGAAGAACCTGCCCAAAGTTCATCCTGTTCAGTAGTGGGGACAACTAAGGCTTGAGGCCTTGGGCTCTGCAGCCAGGAAGCCCTCCTTCCAAAACCTTTGTGTCCAGCCGATGCCCAGCTCCCGCTCAGTGCAGGCAACCATCATTTCTCATTTAGATGTCCACAGCAGCCTCCCAACTGGAGTTCCTGCTTCCAACCTGGCCCCATCTAATCCATCCTCCATGCTTCGATCAGAGGGATCTTTCTCAAAGGCAAAGTGGGTTATGGCACCACTCAGCTTAAACCTTTCAATGGTTTTCCTCTTGCCCTCGAGACAAAATTCAACTTTTTACAATAGATAATACAGTCCTTCATAAATTGGCCCCTGTTAACTAGACAGTGTAGCATGAGTTTTCCATGAGGGCGTTTTGGAAATTTATGGAGGCCTTTTGTTTATTGCATGCCCCAAGAGGTCGCCAGTTCGATTCCCAGTCAGGGCACTAGCCCAGGTTTCAGGCTCAATCCCCAGTAGGGGGCACGCAGGAGGCAGCCAATTGATGTTTCTCTCTCCCTTCCTCTCTCTCTAACAAAAAAACCTCCACGAAAATGAAAGTACAAATATGAAATATTTTGCACATAGTTAACATAATGTCTTTTCTAGGAATACAACTACCGTTTTGTGTTCTTCAGAACTTTAACAAGAGTTGTCTACCACTTTGGAAAATCACATCACAAATGACAATGCTGCCCAATAAAACACCCTTAGGTCAGTCTGCACTCCTTTTTAGTGATTCTAGGTGTGAGTGCACTCAGCCGACTACTTTAATATATATCTTTCAGCATAGTGGTGCCTGAGCACTGACATATTGAAATACCTTCTTCTTATTTGTCTTCTTTATAGTCAAGGCATTATATTGATTTATTTTGTGAAGTCAGATAGGTTATATTATCCGTTAATTTCACTTTGGGATAGTAAAGTTGAGTTACAACATAGTTATTATAATAAAGGGACATTGGGTCTGGTAGGGTGCCTGGTCATTTGGTAGCAAGGACAGTTCTGCTACTCTGTAGGTATGTGATTTGGGGGCAAGATGGTTAACCTTGCTGTCTCAGTTTCTTCACGTAAAATGGGGGTAATAATACCTCCTTCAGAAAGTTATCATGAGAATTAAATGAGTTACGATATGTGAAGTTATGACAGTGGCTGGCACAGAGTGCCAACAAATGTCAGATGTTATGATTACGTCTTTGACCTAATTTCTTGCCTTTCCCATAGTTCTAGCTCTAGCCACATCAAACTGTTTGCTTTTATTTTATTAAAAAACGTTTAAAATCCTCACCGAGGATATGTTTTTATTCATTTTAGAGAGAGGAAAGGAGAGAGAGAGAAACATCGATGTGATTGTTTGCCTCCCATACGTGCCCCGACGGGATTGAACTCTCAACCTTTTGGTGTATGAGATGATGCTCCAACCAAATGAGCCACCCAACCAGGGCAAAATGCTTTGTTTTTAGAACATACCATGATTCTTCTTGTTTTGCACATACTCTCCCTGTCTTGAAATGCTTTCCTTCCCCTCTGCCCCTGGCCAGTTCCTACTTATCCATCAGGTACGAAGTTTCTTTATGAAGCCCACACCTATTGCCCTAAATCTGGGTGAGATGTCCCTGTATTCCACCCCAGTGGCTGCTGTTATCATAGAGTGATGTTATAGAGAATGGGGGCTTACATTAGCTGTGGTGGGCAGGGAAGGATCTCTAAAGAGGGGGCATTTGAGCTAAGGCCTGAAAAATGAGGAAGAGGAAGAGTAAAGCCAATACAAAGGCCTTGAGGGACCACTTGGTGCATTGCTGCAATAGGAAGCAGTTCTGCACAGTGTATAGTGAGCAAAGACAGAACAGAATAAAAGTGAGGCTGAAGAGCTAGGAGATTAGATCACCATCTCCCTGGCCCCATCACCCTGATTTCAGGCATGCAGGACTACATACCTGAAAATCTTTATCTTTGCACCCACTGATCCCTATGTCTGGAATGTGTTCCTTGCCTTCTCTGATTAATAACAAAATTTGACTCATCCTTCAAAGCTGAGTTTAAAACTGTTGACGAAACCTTCTTCCATTCTTTAGCAGGAATTAATCACTCCCTTGCCTCATGTCCCAGAGCCCATATGTCCCCATGGTACTAATCACATGCTGACTTGTATTTCAGCTAGCTGTTTATAATGCCAATCTGCCCCACCACACAGTGCATTCCCTGAGGCAGAGGCTCTGTCTTAGTCACCTCTGCAGCCATCTCCTAGTGCCTAACCCAGTGCCTAGCCCACAGCGGGTGCTCAGTGGATGCTGTGACATTTACTTGACTAGTGGGTGGTGCTCAGCACTACTCATGGCGGAACAGAAGGAAAACAAAAATAATAACAACTTCTGGTTTATCACATGCTTTCCCATTCATTACCTGATTTGAGCCTGAAACAGTGGAGACAGGCACTATTAGCTCCATTGTCCAGATATTAGCTGAGGCCCAAGAGCACACAGGTAGCAAACAGTGGGAACGAAGTCCCAATCCTGCCCCCTTACTTCGGATTTGGGGGGGGGGAGGGATGATGATGGAGAGCATTTTTAAGATATAAAGCATAAGGCAATGGGCGTGCCGGCAGCAGAAAGGTACTTCTGTGGGTGGATTAGTGAGGGGTCCTGTCTGCTGGGATGGAGACAGCAGCCCCATCAGGGAGGACACAGGATTCCTCTCCCTGACCCAAGCAGCTGGAGCAGACTGCAGCCCTGGAAGCTGGGGAACCTCCGACCCCGGAAAGAGGAGCCGGGTGTTCAGGGGTGCTCGGGTCAGGTGGCTAAGATGACGTTAATGATGACTTGCTGGCGGGGGTGGGGGGGGGAGGCTGCCTCTCAGTTGCTATGGCAACCGAAGCTTGACTATTGGGACCTTGCAGCGTTGACCTAGGCGGGGTCTTCGTTACCTCGAAATTAAGGAAGGACATTTGTGGTGTGTACGTGTACAGTGCGCGGTGGGATAAAGACGGAAAGGAGGAATATTCAAGACCCTGTTTAGCTAAGTCTCCACCTCGGCAATATTAGAACGATCTGCGCAGATTTAAAATTCCCGATGCCTACACCGTTCCCCCAGACCAATTAAGTCAACCTCTGGAAGTACAACTTGGGCATCACTACTTCTTTAAGCGTTCCCGAAGTTGCAAACCCTGCTCTCAGGTAGAAGGTGAAATTCTTGCGACCTTCCCAAGATGGTGGCTGCCGGGCCGCTTCCGCTTTGACGTGCGCCGGCCGGAGGCGGGCTTTCCAGGGGCGCACGCGCGCAGCATCTCTCCGCTCCCGGCTCCCAGCCCCTTTTTTTCCCCCGCCTCCATTTTGTTCGCGGACGCTGGGGACAGTGGGAGCAGATCTATTTCCGGGTTGGCAAAAGGGGCGGCGGCGGCGAGAAAGGGAGCTT